ATGCGCGGCTTGCATCAGTCGGCGTGCTTTGTCTTGTTGTGGGTGTGTGACCAATTGTATGTGTGTGAAAGTGGATGGAAGAGAATGTGTGTGCGATGTGTGTGTGTGTGTGTGTGTGTGTGTGTGTGTGTGTGTCTCTGTGTGTCTGTGCGCGCGCTTGCGCGCGTGTGTCCCTGTCTGCCGCCAGTCACTTTGATTGGGTTAAGTGTACTTGATGGGGTTAAGGTAATTGTTAAGCGCTGGAGCAGGGCGACCGCCAGGCGGCTGTGGGGCCGGCATTCGGCCGCCCTCACTCGTGTGTCACGCTCACAACATTTGGGTTGCCCCCAGGGTGCTTGCTGTGGCCCCAGCTCGGCCCTGCCTTCCTCAAATTATCAGCAGCACCACTATGTCGCATTGAAGCAGGACGCCCCCACCGTGACGAACGTGCCAGCCCAACCTTCTGACCACCAATCACGATCCCCAACCTCGCTTCTATCAAAGCCCAGACCACCCCCCCTATCCAAACCAAAACCCCAGGAGCTGGCAGCGGTTCAACGAATTCGGCGCCAGCTCCCGCCGCCTTGACGAGCTGCTGTCGCACCCAGAGCCCGCCGCCACGCCCTCTGAGCGCTGGCGCGAGGCCGCGCAGTCCGGCGGCGACGGCAGCAGCGGCGGCGGCGGCGGCGGCAGCGCGATATCAGCGCTGCAGCGCGGCACCGTCGAGCTGCGCGGCGGCCGCTTCGGGTGGCCGCACTTTGTGGCGCCTCCCGCGCCACCAGGCGGCCGAATCACACGCAGCCGCGGCGGCAGCAGTCGCAGCGGCAGTATCAGCGGTGCCGTCGGCGGCGGCAGGGTGGGCAGCGGGGCCGGCGTCAATGGCGGGCCGGGGGTCGCGTCTGTTGTGGTGGACATGGCGGGGTTCGACGAGCGCATGATGGGGATGGGCAACGCCGACGACGGCGTCGACGACGTCGGGGGCTCCTCTGATGACGACGACGCCCGGCGCCGCGATGCGCCGCGGCCGCGCAAGCCGCGCGACGGCGCGGCGCTGTCGGGCGTCGACCTGCGGCTGCGGCCGGGCGAGCTGCTCGGCGTGTGCGGCACGACGGGCGCCGGGAAGACGTCGCTGATCGCGTGCCTCCTGGGAGAGCTGGAGCTGCTGCCTTCGTTGACCCATCGTGGGTTTGGGTCCGGGTCAGGGTCCTCCTCGGATGGCGGCGAAAGAAGCCCTGCGGGTTTGAAAGACGTCGGCGGCGGAGGCGGGTTTGGGGTTGGTGCGGAGGGGCCTGCGGCGGACGCTGTGGTGGTGGCGGGGCGCACCTCGTACCTGGCGCAGCAGCCATGGGTGGGGTTCGGCACGCTGCGGGAGAACGTGACCCTCACGGGGCCCGAGGTGTGTGCGTGCGCGTGCGTGGGGGGACAGTCGTGGCTAAAACGGGCGGCTGGCTGGCTCTGCTGAGCGGCCCGAGTGTCTGATCTCACATTGTGCGTGGTAGGGGGTTGGCAGCCGCCGTCACACGCTGGTCTCCCGTGCCGCCGTGCGCGAGGTGAGCAAAGCTGCGCTCTTCCAAGCGCAGCAGCTGATTCCACAATGCCGGGCCGAAGCACTGCGCCCTGCCGCTCCCGCTGAACCCTTGAATCTGCAACCCGGCCTGTCGGCAGGTCTGCCGCGTCTCGCCCGGCCAGGGGCGCCTGAGCACCCGCGCGGAGCTGCACGCCTGCAACAACGAGGTCCGTTTCTACAACCGCGTCGTGGAGGCCTGCGCGCTCACGAACGATTTGCTCACCCTCGCGGCCGGTGAGCGCGGGCGCGCTGCATAGCGCAGAGGCCCGGGGCGTGCTTTTCGTATCTGGGAGAGGCGGGGCTCAGGGGGGAAGGGGGCACGGCCTGCTGTTTTGCGGGGGGGCAGGGTGAGGTGGGGGTTGCAAGAGGCTGCTGCCTGGGTGACCGAGGCG